AGCACAGCTGGAGACAAGCCTCCGAGGCTTCCATGAATCAGATGATTTCCTTCATCAGAGCTTCTGGCATCTCCAGACTGGAAGNGGGGGGGGGAATGGGACATCTGTAATACTCTCAACAATAAAGATTTTTTTTAAAAGAGTCCTTTTAGCAGTTAGTTATTGCCATGTTTTCTACATTTTTGTGCTTTTTGCTGGTAATTTCACTGTTTAAAGTGACACCTGAGTATAGTGTTAAAATGCTGCTACTGTTCCTAAGTGTGAGAAGGCTGTGATGTGCCTTATGGATAAAATATGTTAGATAAGCTTTGTTCAAGTATGTGTATAGAGTTGTCAGCTGTGAGTTCAGTGTTAATTAATCAATAATATATACTTCGTAAGGTGTCTTTAAACAGAAAAACACATAAAACAGGGTTCTGAATGGATCAGTTGATGGAAATGTGACCTGAAACTAGCAAGGAACCAATTCCTAGGAGTAATGATATAGTATTTGCTAACTCACTGTTCATGGCAATTTCACAGACCATACTATCTTGAATAAGGAGAATCCATTTCATTTGTTGAGTCTACAAATGTTCAGCCACTGTGTTAGTTGTACTTGTCCCTGAGGATTAAGTGGTGGGTAAATCTCAGCCTCAAGCTTCTTGCAAACAAATAGGCAAATGCAGGAATGGACCACAACCAGCTCCAAAGCTTAGACTTGCCAAGGGAAATGGATTAAAATTCACAGCAGATAGGAAATGCTGGTTTTATTCCTTACTCACTGAACATTGTACCTGACTAATCAGCAAACATGTACATAGTGACTCCAAAACATATTTAATGGTTGGGGCAGTTGCTAGAAGGGAAGTAGTGGCAAAAGTGAGTTTATTTCACTTAGAAGAACAGTGGTCAGCTTGACCACCATTACTCTTGACTTGGTTGAGATGCAAACTCTCCTTCCTGACACCAAGGCAAAACCTCTTCTATAAATCAAGCATTCTACAGCTCCCAAATTCCTCTTTCCTATGTTTCCTTTTACTGCCTACCTTAGATGCTGAGAAAATAAACTATTAGCTTCAAGCAGTTTGGAGAAATGAGTTTTATGAATATAAGCCATTCCTATTCATCTACGAGGCTGACCAGGTTTTACTTCCCACCCTGGCCCCCCACATAATCTCTACAGAGTATTTACATCCCTAAACAACCTTCAGATGCTGAATTCACAGAAGAGACCAATGGCTCACATGGCCAGAGAAAGTGCAAGCAGAGCAGAATGCTACACACACACGTCAATGAGAGTGGGAAGGGAAATCACTGTTTACTGGAAACTGCACCCTGGTGGTTTTTGTTCACTAATCATCCTCTTTCTGTCCAAGACTCTGTCTGATCCTCCATTAGATGAAGCCAGAAGATGTTTCAAGTTACAAAACAAATAGACTGTATCTTAAGGTTTTGATCACAGGTACTTTTAGGACAGCATCTTTAACCACTGCCTAGGCCTAAGAGGATCCCAACGGGCACCCTGCCTACTCACATTCGGGAGCTCCTGGGAGCATCCACCAATTCCAAGGCCAACCCAAGATGATCCAGCGGGAACCCATGGGTCCACCTGTCTGAAGGAGGAGCCAGTACACTCAAAGGACAGCTACCAGCCACCAACATCAAGATGTTATTTAGTCCCGTGGAGCTTTGGCCTCAGGTGGGAAAGTTTTCTAGGAAGTTGAGAGGAGACAGTGCTGATTGGCAAGAAAAAAAGCCAATGTTTATTGTCTCTCTTTCTAAATCTCTTCTTTATTTTTTTAAAAATTTTATTTATTTATTTTTTAATTAAATTTTTTGTGGTGACCATGGATAATATGAACATATAGGCTTCAGGTGTGGGTTTCTATATTACAATATCTGTATATTGCTCTGTGTACCCACCACCCAAAATCATATCTTCTTCTGTCATCATATATTAAGACCCCCCTTTTACCCCCACCCCCTTCCCTCTGGCACCCTAAATCCCTGCTTTAGAAAGAAAATCCAAACCTCCTAACCTACGTTCAGAGTAGATCCTACGATGAACCAACCTCCCAACCCCCACCACCCACCTCTCTCCCACTTACCTTCCTTCCCACCAGTCCCTTTCGTGATTGGTTCCTCTACCCAAACCTCCTTTCTGTCTGAACCCCTATGCTCTCCTCTCCTGGCACATATCCCCTGTCTTGAGTCTCCAGGACAGGGATACTCCCTTCTGTGCTGTGGTGTTTGCCACCCTGAAAGTAGGTTCTTTTTTTATGTATCTTTCTAAACTGTGAATGTCCTGTAAGAACAAGGACTGCAACTTACTCCTTGAATTCCTGAGGGCCCTGGCAATACCTGGGACTCAGCAGGTATCCCCCAAATACTGGATGAATAAATGAATAAATGGGTAAAATTAAGTGCTTTCCCACCAAAAGCTCTAGGTACTCTATGCCTGTCCCTTCGTGTGCCCTTTGATAACACAAATACATTGTTGTTTTGAGATAACACTGCAGGTCAGAATTCACAAGACAACAGGTGAACTTCAAGGTACCTTCTCTACTTTCAAAGCAGGTCCTGGCTCTAGATTTCCAAAAGGCTGGTTAGGGTGATAGGATGTAGAAACACTGAAATTGGTAAGAACTAAAATCAGTAATAAAACTCTTCAAAGAAACTGCCTCTCAGTTTAACAGTGTTTTTTCTTTTTATCAATGAAGCAAGTTGCTAGGGCAAGAGGGGAAGTGAGAGGTGGGGAGGGCTGGGAGAAAAGACAGGTAGGAGGGGTCAAGGATACAGAGTGCCTGCTGTCTCCATGACGTGGACAGCTGCTTCTGGTTGTATTTTAAACAAAATCTCATCCCAGTGTAGAAACCACGTCTGGAATTACGATCCACCCTGTGATCTGTCTTTTACATACACACACGAGGGAGTGGAGCGGTCTCCATAGAGAAGAAACAATACAAGAAAAGGAGCCGGCGACCCCAGCAGAGTCAGAAGTTCAGGGGATGTTCCTGGGACAGACCTCTTGGTCCTGAAGCTGCGCCTGCCTCACTGAGCATCTCCACTCTGGAGGGAAGTCCACTTTCAGGTAAGATTTTAGACAGAGACTTCTTTATGAAAGATAAATTTATTTGCCCTTAATTAGGCAGGAGGTGCTGGGGACTGAGCAGGGTTGAGACATGAGAGTTGAAAGACAGTGTTGAATACCACAGTGTTTTAAGTAAAGAGAAATGGGGAAGTGAGAGGTGGGGAGGGCTGGGAGAAAAGACAAATAGGAGGGGTCAAGGATATAGAGTGCAGTTTTAAGTAAAGAGACCATGGGGAAGTTTTAAGGGGGCAAAATGATCCTCCTTTTGTTCATATAGAGATACCTGCTTTGTAAAAGGTACTAGATCTTAGGCAGAATGGGTTCATGCAAATCTATTTTTCTGAACAGAATTCAGTTGTGTACATGAAAAGTGGTCCTTGGTAATAGTTCACAAATGAGGTTGGGAGATAGAAACTACAGGATATTCCCTACTGTCTGTGGGGGCAGTAGGATGCTTGCAATTATTGTTTCTCATGTGACATCATCTCTGTCATCTTTCATTCTTTCAGTACACCTGTGAGGCAGGTAATGTCTTCTTTTTAGGATGTGGGCTAAGAGGTTAAGTGATTCTCCAAAAATAATCAAGAGGGTGAGGGAAATTTTGAACCCAGGCTCTCTGCCCTCAAAGCCTGGAGTCCTTTCCCCCTTGCCATACTCAGGACTTTGGAGGGAGGAGACAGATATCTGCTACCTATGAAGGAGAGAAACCATAAAGATGGATGTTTTATGTCTCCATTTGATGCCCAAGTTCTCTGAGACGTTCTGTTTGCAATTTTCTCCTCTAACATAGCAATCTAGCCAACACACACACACACACAGACACATGCATGCACACCACTTCTAAGAATGGATTGAATAATATGGCAGGAGTACGAATTCTGGCAAAGGCCAGTTACCTGTAGCACGTCAGCTTTCCCTGGCTGTTCCTCTCTCTTTGCAGGAAGAGACTTTCATGTATAAACCTTCACTGCTCACTTCGAGAGTGAACTGCTTGGAGGTGTGTGTGTGTGTCACACAAACACTTCCGCAAGCCTACAAAAAGAAAACAGTTCACCCCTATACTCACTGCTATTCCTTTTGAAATGCTTAAAGCTTCCTTAGGTTCTGCAGCCACTGTTTGCTAAAATGTTTTTAAGTTCTTCATTTTCTACATTCAACTTCTTACCAGTGTTTGGAAACAAACTGGGTAAAATGGGGAATAACTGTCTTCCTTTCCACCCCCACTCCACTGGAAAATGGAGCTAGCACGGGGTAAGGCTTTGCCTTCCAGCTTCACCACCCTGAAGTCTTTCCCTTCGGGTGCACTCTCCCTCAGAGGTGCTCTGAATCTCAGGCCGGCCTAGGTCCCTAGGGCGGGACTCTGCCACAGCTCTCAGAAGTGAGTGCATATCTTAAAATCACCCAGAGAAGGTGCTGCTGTAACAATCCTAACGAATGGTTGAGTTTCAGATACACAGAGAAGAAAAATGCAGATGGAGTATTGCCCTTTAAATCCAACTAGAGGGGGCTTGCTTATTTTCATAGCAAGTAGCAGGAAATGTCACCGTTTGTGGCGTTTCACTAGAGGTGATGGCAAAAGCACCCAAAGAGTGAAAGAGGAGAAACTTGCTTAGAAATTAGACTTCATTGGGGAGCCAAGGATGGCTTTTCTGTGTGGAGAGTTTCTTTTCCTTTACCCTGCAAACCCTGAACAGAGGTCAATGAGAGTGGGGGTAGGGGGTGGGGTTAGTTTGGGGGGGAGATGAGAGAGAAAAATTGAAACTTGTTCCCCTGAGAATTATTTACATTTCTAACAAGTTTCCAGATGCTGCTTCTGGTCCAAAGAACCGGAGAACCATTGTAGCAGACACGAAAAAAGCCCCACTGGATTTTAACCCATGTCCTTATGACACCCTTCCCACTTCCCTCATTTCTACCACAGGGAGAAATGCTCGTGCCGTCCCACTTCCTGCTGCTGCTGCTGCTCCTAGGGGCTCCCAGGATGGGTCTGTCCCATAAGTTCTCCAAAGCTGAGTACACCTTCTGCTGCATCAGCACAGCCCTGTCTGAGGCCAAGAAGAGCCAGCTGGAGGATGCACCTCTGCTGAGCAAGAAAGGCTTTGCTTTCCTGCCCAGCCAGGACCCATCCTCAGGAGAGGACCAGGAGAGGGAGGATGAGAGAGGGAGCAAAATGAAAAGGACCGTCTCTGGCCCCAGGGGTGGTGGTGGAACTGGAAGCCCTCGCTACAAGTATCTGTCCCAACCACAGCCCAGGGGGAGGCTGCACCAGAACAAGACCAAGAGTGACCGGCGCACCAAGCTCACTCTGTCCCTCGACGTCCCCACTAACATCATGAATGTCCTCTTCAACATCGCCAAGACCAAGAACTTGCGAGCCAAGGCAGCTGCAAACACCCATCTGATGGCACAGATTGGACGGAAGTAGAATGGAGGCCAGCAGGGCGCCCCTTTCAGGACAAGAACAGAGATCAGGTGGAGGGTTAGGGTTTGCCCACCCAACCAGTTTGTATTTTGTGGATGGTCCAGCTTTACAGGCTGCCATATTGCTCAACCCCTCTGACCCTATCCTGCCTCCAGCTCAGCTTTCTCCTCTGTACAATACACAGACGTGCACAACTGTCCCACCTTCACAGATGCGAGGTCATTAAGGCCTCTCCCTGTGTTCTGTGTCTCTTTTCTGCTTCCCCACACTTCTCCCTGATGATCCCATGCCTGAGAAGAGGGCACCTAGTATCCTCTCCTCTCTGCATACCAACCCCAGCCAATGCTGGAAGACAAAGAGACTCACTGATTACTATCCCGCCACCAGATCCCTTCCCTACCCTCTTGCTTCCATTAAAACCAGTGGCTTCTTGAACCCCTGGCTTGTGTCAGTTCCTCTTCTATCAGCCATTTGATTCCAAACCTCTGAGCTCAGAAAGGGAAGGCAGATGAGGGAAGATACAGATGAGTCAATTCCCCATCTCTCCCAGGATGGGAATGCTTCTTGCAGGTCCTAGGGAAGGTAAAGAAGAGCTTGGGAAAGATCAAACTGGCATGACTCTCAGTTTTCATTCAATCTAGAGCTATCTGCATTGGTCCCTCTCAAGGGGCACAGCCTGAGATCTGCTGTCAGGATGCTACCTGGGCTAGACAGGAGAGGAAGGTTTTAGTTATCCCCCTTGGGACACCCCACATCCTCCCTGGCTTGCTAGGGCATAAGGCCACAAAGCCTTTTAGCAGGTGCTCACTGAACCCACAGTAACTGTCCAGCATGGTGCTGGGCACCCAGGAGGTGCTGATGTGTGAGGCAAGGCCTCTGCTCTCCACAAGTCAACATCTAAGTGAACAGACAAAACCAAAATTAAAAAAGCAAATGCCACCAAAGAATATATAAGTGATAAACTGCAAAGTGACAATTAGTGTAAAGGATATATGAGGAATTCAGAGATGAGGGGGTTTAATATGAGTAAAAGTCCACTAACAATGGACATCAGCAAGAACTCTGATGGCCTCTGGTAGCAAAACCTGAGAGCCAGCTTCCCAGAGAGGGTCATGGTTCCATTACCTTCTGCACAGTGATAAGTCATAAATACATAAAATTAATTTCTACATGGTGAAATAACCTACACACACACCAGCAGCTAACACTACCAGCAGCAGTAGCAGCAAAGTCAAAACACAAATGAATGACAAATTCGGAAAAATGTTTGCCACTCATATAAAAAACAAATGGTTTATTGATCCAATATATAAAGAGCTACTGAAAATTGAGAAGAAAAAAATATATAAAAAGCAAGGATCTGAATAGGGTACTTGAGAAAAATTTGTCAGACAATAAAAGTCCTTAAAAGAAAAGAAAATATATCAAATTTTTAAAGGCAATATAAAATATATAAAAATGTTTATCTAAGATTGCAAAGGGGACCAAAAAGCCATTTATATTCCCTTTAAAAGTGATTATTTAAGTTTGCTAGACTTAGAAATAATAAAATTCACAAGCTGAACTTAAAAGTTTACAAAATAATTTGTTGTTTTATCTTCATTTTAGTATAATATTAATTTTAAAAAAACAGAAAAAAACCTAATGATCTTTTCTGTGTGTGGGAATGCAGACACATGGATACACACATACACAAATGCTCTCCAAAACATCAACACTCATCTGAACAACTGAGGAGTTAAGCATTTCAGCAGTGCCCTCCAGCGTCTGAAGAGAGAAACAATACATGTACATTTAAAAAAAAAATTTAAGTACTTAGTAAGAGCCTAAGAAAAGTTTGAAGTGGGATATGCGCATGGAAAACAGTTTCATCACTGAGTATTTACTACAATGCAGGGTGGGGCATATTTTGGTAGGTTTAGAGTTGTTTGTATGGAAATAATACAATAATTAATAAATAATAATACAAGAATAAACTCTCTGTTTTGTGTACCCATAACTGTAAAACTACTTTTGCTCCACCCTGTATAGTGAGATTTCATAGTATATCCCAACCATCCCTGATTCCTGGGGTGGAAGAAAATGGATAATGCAGATCAGTCTGGCAGCTCAGAGAGGCACAAGGAAGAGTCCCAAGCAGCTACATGGAAGAGATGACATCTGAACTGGGTTTGTAGTAGGAGTCCTCCGTGGTCACAGAGGAAATAAAAGAGACAGCAAAGAGAAGGAGCAAAGGCATAGGAGAGAGAGAAAAGAATCTGTGCTGAGGAGTGGTGAAAGTATAGTCTGAATGGAATGCATAACAGCAAAGTAGAGGATGGGATTGGAAATTTAAGCTGAAACTGGTGGTGACAGGCTCTGCATGTCATGTGCAGGAGTTTACACTTTATGCCTAAAACAATGGAGAATCCTTAAGATTTTGTATAGGGAGTGGAATAATCCAAGCTGTGCGTCAGAGCAGTCACAGAGTAGTGACTAGGATGGGTCAGGAAGACAACGTGAGAGGCAGAAAAGCATTTAGATATGAGTGTGTTAGGGACTTGGAGAGGATTTGATGACCGGGGCTAGGACGGCATCTACAGGAAGAAAAGGGAAGGGATTCTGAAAACATTACAGAAGCAGAATTGACAGGACTTAATTTTATGTAGAGAGCAGTCAATAATGACTGCTAGACTGTGTTTAAGTGGGGAGATGATGACATAAATGAACAAAGGGCAGAACACCAAAGGAAGGGCAGATTTCTTTGGAGGAAAATTATGTTTTTCTTGGAAGAAGTTAAATTTAAGTGTAAGCAAAATATCTGGGAGGATAGGTCCAGCACATTAGATGGAAATTCCACTATAAAACTCAAGAGAGAACTGAAACATAGAGTTTTGCAGTCACCCATGTAGAGCTGGTGTGGTTGTGAATAAGAGAAATAAAGACCTGAGAAGATGACCACGGGTATCTCCACTGCGGCAGACGATAGAGAGAAAGAGTCTGAGGAGGAGAACCAAGTAGTGCCGCAGGAGGCAAAGGGGTAGTTTCAAGAAAAAATAATTACCAAATGCCTCAAGTCGAAAATCTGAAGACTGAGAAGGTTGTGGTTTTGACAAATCCAGTATGATCAATGTTCTTCAAGATAACAGTTTTAATAGAACCATGGGGAGGCCACCAAATCACAAAGACTAAGGAGTGAGAAGATGAGGTGTAGGCATCAAATGGATATTCCCTAGAAAAGCTTGATGGAATGCAAAGATGTGACAGTATGTTATAAAAGTAATAGAATCCAGAAAAGGGTGTTGATTTTTTGAATCAGGAGACCTTGACATAAAAGTAGAGAGAAGAAAAAAAGTCAATGGAGAAAGGGAGACAGAACATACAAGGAACAAAGTCTTCTAGAAAAGTTAAGGGGAGAAGGCTCACAAATCCTAAGTAGCCTTGGAAAGAAGAGGTCTTCCTCTGGAATAGTAGAGGATATGTGAAGATTCAAAATAATTTTAAGGGGAGTTCAAAGAGGAATGTAAGAAGTTAAGTCAGATGGACATGATTTAAATAAAGTAGGAAATGAGGTGATCTCCTATTGCTTTTCAATCTAATATTGAGGACCAACCCTATGCCTCACACTGTAGTAGGGGTGGGGAATGCCCAGCCCTCAAAATCATTTGGTCCGGCCCTGCCAAGGCCTCACCAAAGGGAAGCAGTTCCAGCCATCACATTAGGGGTGAGTTAATTAAACGTTTGACCAAATATAACAGGCTAATATTTAAGTTGATAATTTTGTATGGTCCTCGAATGATGTTATAAATATCCAAATGGCCCTTGGCAGAAAAAAGGTTCCCCACCCATGCTAGAGACACAGATAAATAAGATAGTCCCTGCCTCAAGATCACATATAATTAGTGCTTATACTCCTCAGAGTCATTTCAATCATTAACTCAGGTGATCTCACTCTTTGAGAGAGAAAGGGCAAATATTCCCTCTCAACCTCAGATCCACATTTAAAATGAGTAAAAGGAGTTATTTTGTCAGAAGGAAAATGGTGCCAGGTGGAAGTATGGTGATGCAAGAAGGAAGGAAGAACCCTGCCTAGTGGCTCTGTTGATTGGAGCATCATCCCATGCACCAAAAGTTTGCAGGTTCAATTCCCAGTCAGGGCACATACTTAGGTTGTGGATTTGATCCCCAGTCAGGATGCGTACAGGAGGCAACAGATCAATGTTTCTCTCTCACATCTCTCTCCCTCCCCTCTTTAAAATCAATAAGCATATCCTCTGGTGAGGGTTAAAAAAAAAAGTAACTAAGAGTAAGAATGAGGGAAAATCTATGCAAACATCTACTGTTTAAAACAACAACACTAGTAATCAATGTATTTGGGGGTTTAAAATATGTATGGCATTAAAGTACAAGGTAAAAAAAAGCACAAAAGGCAGGATATCAAATGAAGTTGAAGTGTCCTGTGGTCTTTTCATTGCCTGGCAATAGTAAAAACACTAATGCATGCCAATAAGTCGATTTGAATGTTGTAATTTCTAGGGTATCCACTAAAATATTTTAATGAATATTTAATAAGTTAATAGAGAGGAAACATTAATAATAAAGAAAAATATTTGGTAAGTCTAATATTTATGTATGACATTGTACAAGTAGCATCACAAGTTAATCAATTCTTAGACTCACAAAGTCTTGGGACTGGAAAGGGTCTTAGAAATAACCTTGTCCAAGATGAGGATTTTAAGATATGGAGAAGCTAGGTATATATTTCAAGATCACATAATTGTAACAATGCCATGAACTGGATCCATCTTTCCTAATATCTAGGTAGATATCTCTTCCATGTTACATCTTCCCTTTTACAGTAACATACTTGATTAAAAGCAGCAGCCTAAAGAAAAGTATTTGAGTCTTGATGACTACCCTCTAGAAAATCTAACCCTAAAGCTCACAAGTATGTGAAGTGTCCATAGTACTTGGGTCATCAAATAGTTTTATTTACAACTGAATAAGATAGATATGATTTTAAAAGGCAAACATGAGAGATATAGGTTAATTGAATAATAGAGTCCCCTCCCCCAGTAATTTGGACACTGGCATAGGTTCCTTCAAGTGTTGAAGGTTTTCTTCCACACTTAAAGACCCAGTCTACTATTAGTCTATGTTGGATTTGGTGAAAGTGAGAGTCAGGGTCACCAAGTTACTCCTTTCTTGTATATATTTTTTAACTTTCCTCCAAATGTTTGATCACAGCAAGTCAGAGATGAGAATGAGAGTCATATTTGTTACCCTGTTATTACATTGGAAGTCCTGGTGCATTCTCAGTTCCTAAGGGAATTCTGGTATGACGTTTCGGTGTTGGCATAGACTGATTCCTTGGCAGAGGGCCTTGGAAGTCGAGGCCAAAGAAGATCCAGCCAAATACTCAGAGATTTGAGGACTGAGCAAAAACTCACTGATAGTTTTGTGGGCTGGAAAACCATCTCTTCACACACATTGACAAGTATCTAAATATCATTTCTGCCAAACTGCGGTCATTGGCCTACATGGTGACAATGGTTTGAGTTGAAAACAGGCAAGACAGTACATTGTTTGAATGGAGCTCTTAAAGACCACATCTCAGGGCAGTGATTTGAGTAAAAGCATCTATCAGGAATATGTTAAATACGAAGCAACAGTTCTGGGGTCCAGGTGGCACATGTAAGAAGGTGGCAGCACTACAGTTTGGCAAATTTCACAATAAGGCACACAACTTTATACCGTCAGCCAAGGCTATAAGGCCTACTAGACCAAAAGCACTAACCATGTCGAGGTCCAGAGAGAGTACAGAGGACTGAAGCTGAAAGGTAAACACCACAGATGAATGAGGCACCTGAAAACTACCTACCATCAGCTCAAGAGCAATACCAGCCCAAGCAAGCACCATTGCAGTATCTAGTTCATCTTAATTCCAACCATTACGCTGAACATCATGGAGTCTAAAATTCTGGATAGTGATTTTAATGCATTTATAGCTATTTTGTCCATTTTAAATTATAACTTATTTGAAAATGGGTTACTACAAAACAGTAATACTGTTTAATATCAAAAATTAACTCTATTAAGTGCTTTTTTTAAACTTCAAATCCTCAGGTAACACGCTCTCCAGTCCCCAGGGCTTCTCATTTAGCAAGTCTGTAGTGAAGCTCAAGAATCTGCATTTTTTTCTAAACCTCTGATATGGTTCTGATGCAGGGGTTCTGCGGCCACACTTTGAGAACACCTCCTCAAGGAAGGATAACTGAAAGAGATCACTTTCACCTCTGACTTACAGGACACACAGATCTAAATTTGTGAAAGACCCAAGAATATTCTTGTTTGTTTTTGTTTATTTCTTTGTTTGTATAAAAAGCAAACTGAAACCTTAAGGCCACATTTGGAAGGAAAAGAATCATACTGAAAATGCTCATTATTTAATCAATGTACAAAATACAGACATGGAGGAAATAACATTAACAATCAATATTGTGCTGTTTTCCACCTCAGGTATAGGACAAGGAAAGCATTAACTTTGGGGTTTCATAGTGTCATGGTTGAAAAAGCAATGACTATAGCCACATTTCCATTCTGACAAAACAAAAATACACAAAAACAAACAAACTGACATGAACAATAAAGGACTCCAAAGCTTAAAAGGTTTATAGGGAGCAGTGTTGAATTATATTAACAGACAAGAAAAGATGTGCTCATTGTTAATAGTGGCTGACTTAATTTAGTGTGGAACTTATGTTCTTGCTTCATTTGATTTCCTTCTTCTTCTAATCAAGGGAACTCTATCCACTAACTGCATAATGAATTTAAAAAGTAAGCATGGCACTTAACATTCATTTTCACCATCACATATACATCAGAAACTTTGCCCTACTTCCTCATAATCCTTCTCCAGAGCTGCCAGGTCTTCCCTAGCCTCTGAAAACTCCTCTTCTTCCATGCCTTCTCTGATGTACCAATGCAGAAATGCCTTCTTGGCATACATGAGGTCAAACTTGTGGTTCAGGTGGGCCCAGGCCTTTCCAACTGCTGTGGTATTGCTCAGCATACAGACAGCCCTCTGGACCTTGGCCAGTTCACTCCCTGGCATCTTCGTGGGTGGTTGACTATTGATGCCCACCTTGAAACCAGTTGGACACCAATCCACAAACTGAATAGAGTTTCTTGACTTCATGGCTGCAATTGCTGCATTCACATCCTTAGGGACCACGTCCCCTCTGTAGAGTAGGCAGCAGGCCATGTATTTCCCCAGTCGAGGATCACACTTGACCAGCTGGTTGGAGAACTCAAAACAAGCACTGGTGATATCTGACACGGAGAAGTTCTTGTGGTAGGCATTGTCAGCAGAAACGATGGGGGCAAAGGCTGTCATGGGGAAATGTATTCTTGGATATGGTACTAGGTTGGTCTGAAATTCATTTAGGTCCACATTCAAAGGCCCTTCAAACCGGAGGGAAGCAGTAATGGAAGATACTGCCTGACCTATCAAGCTATTAATGACGGCGTAAGAGGGTCGTTCAATACCAAGTTTATGATGGCATATGTCATAGAGGGCCTCATTGTCCATCATGAAGGTACAGTCCGAGTGCTCTAATGTGAAATGGGTGGTGAGGATGGAGTTGTAAGGTTCTACTACAGCAGTGGAGATCCTTGGGGATGGATAGACAGAGAACTCCAATTTAGTCTTCCTGCCATATTGTATTGAGAGGTGCTCCATTAAGAGAGATGTAAATCCTGATCCAGTGCCTCCTCCAAGGCTTCGGAAAATCAAAAATCCCTGCAGTCCACTGCACTGTTCTGCCTGGGAAAGAAAACAAGAGGTAGGAACTCAGCCAAATAAAGCCAGAAGCAGTGGTAATGATGGGACACAAGTTCCCAAAACAAACAAAACTTTCAGAAAGGACTGATTTGCCATCTCCACAACAAACATATTTACTTTCAAACATACTTGAGTAGTTACTCCTGGGGTGGCAAAGCACTTTAGAGAGTTACTATAAGTGAAGCATAAATATTCAACTGTCTTTCACTGCCCTCCATGAATAAATCTGTAGGTGATGCAAAGCAAGGTCTTTATCAATAACAAAGAAAATGACTAGCAAAACGTTGAAGCACTATAGTTGCCCCCCATAGTAGATGAAGTGCTTATCATTTCTATGCCAGTCTACTGGGCTGGTATAAAGGCATTGTATTACCTAATGATTATGGCAAATTCCAAAATATTTCCTTAACAAAGGGTTCTCCAGATGCAGGTCCTTGAAGAATTAATTGTCAGTAAATAGAGTAACTAATCTTCAGGTAGGATGTGCCTCCTGTTAACTTTATAAATAGTGGTTACTATTGAAAAGTTACAAGTTTTAGAGTGCTTTGGAAGTCTCTGATAACAAGATAAACTATGAGTTAGCAAAAGCAAGGGTAAATGGGGACTAGTCACTAAAAAGAAGGAAATCCTGGTGTTTGTGACATAGATGGACTTTGAGGGCATTATGCTAAGTAAGGTAAGTCAGACAGAGAAAGACAAATACTGTATCATCTCACTAATATATGGAATCTAAAAAAGCCAAACTTGTAGAAACGGGGAGTAGAATAGTGGTTGCCGAGCACTGGGAGGTGGGGGAAAGGGGGAGATTTGGGTTAAAGGGCAGAAACTTCCAATTATAAGATAAATTCTAGATCTGGGACTCTAATGTCCAGCACGGTGAAAATACTTAGCAACTGTATTATTTACTTTAAAGTTGCGAAGACAGTAGATCATAAATGTTGTCACCACAGAATTTTAGAAAAGGTAGTTATATGAGGGGATGGAGGTGTTAACTAAACCTACTGTGGTAATCATTTTGCAATACATATATGTATCAAATGTACACCTTAAATTTACACAAGGTTATGTGTCAATTTTATCTCAATAAAGCAGGAGGGAAATAAAACATGTCCTCAATAAATCTGAAAACAAAGGAGGAGAAGAAGCTGTACAGAAAGTGTGAAGGCTCCTGCAGCCTTTCCTATGGAACAAGGTGTAATCAAAGCCCACTTTGGGATGCTTCCCAGCTCTGAGCATGGCAAGAGGTTCTGAGGTGAGAGGCTGGGTGGTAACGATGTTTGTGGCAGAACTGCTGTTGATGCTTAGGAGGTGTTTCGCAAAGTCCCAGGCACTCAGGCACACTTCCCCCAAGCCCACTGAGAAGAGAGCCACTTGCCAGCTTTCGGATCCTCTCCAGCACAAGGTCGATGATCTCTGACCCCAGAGAGTAGTGGCCTCGGGCATAGTTGTTTGCAGCATCCTCCTTCCCGCTAATAAGCTGCTCTGGGTGGAAGAGTGAGTGATACTTGCCTGTTCTAATCACATCTGCAGAGGGAAAAGTGGGTCAGTCACTCCACTCCATCAACTGCCAGCCCTCTGTTAATTCTCACACAACCCTGGACCATGCTCCCCTCTCTTCTCCCACTGTTGGGGTAAAGCAATGCATTTAAACTGCTGACTTCACCTTCCTTAGTCTAGGAAAAGGTATAACTGTTTCCATATAAATTGAAAGTATTTTTTTCCATCATATACCCTCTATTTTGTTTCTTAGAGCTGCTGTGACAAATTACAACATTCTGGGTGGTTTATAAGGACACAGATCATTGGAGTTAGGGCCTCCCCTATTCCAGTATGAGCTCATCTGAACCAAGTACATCTGCATAGACCCTATTTCTAAACAAAGTCATATTCTGGGGTTCTGAGTGGACGTAGATTTTTAGGAGACACTATTCAAACTGTGGCACTTTGGCATTTTAAGACAAGTATTTCTATCCACAAAGAGCCAACAGTGTGCTGGAAAAGCATAAAAGAGGATACCAATCCAGATTTTTATTGGTATACTTTAAAGACGCTTTAATAAAGAAGGCACGGCACGCTTAAAAGCCCACACTGCTCAAATGCAGTTAACACAGATGCACGAGGCAGGGAAATCAGCAGTAAGATGTTGGCAGTATTCAGTACAACCAAGTGCAACCCTTGCCTGGTTTCACTGGCTTTAAAAACCTTGGGCAGCATGAGAAACACAGCACGTTGGAGACCCAAGTCCCATACCCCTACATTAGAAGTACCCAAATAGCATGCCTCCTACAGAATTACACAGTGGTCTGTGAGGGTTAAGAAGGCTTTCGGAACGTTGCCCTGGATACAGCGGGATGCTGCATTGCATAGTAGTGAAGAGCATGTGTTCAAGAACCAGTTTCCTATGTTCATATCTTGCCTTCCTCACTTAGTAATAGAGCAGGTACCTATGTCTCTCGGCCTGTTATTTCACCTCACAGATAAGGAAAATAACAAGACCTACCCCACTCAGTTATTACGAGGACTGAATGAAATCATAGGGCATGATGCATGGACCATAAAACAAGAATTACAGCCCTGGCCAGTGTTGCTCAGTGGTTAGAGCTTCAACCTATGCACCACAGGGTCATGGGTTTGATTCCCAGTCAAGGGCACATACCTTGGTTGCAGATTTGCTTCCCACCCCCAGTCAGGGTGTGTGTAGGAGGCAACCAGTCGATGTGTCTCTCTCACTTCCATGTTTCTCTCTCTCCCCCTCCCTCCCTTCTAATCTCTGAAAAGGAATGGAAAAAATATCCACAGGTGAGGATTAACAACAAAAATTATAAATAATAATGATAAAATCAGCTTCATGACATGCATTTATGCAGATTTATCTTACTATACATCACTGGCCTCGGCACCAGATATCCATAGTTAGTCACAGAAGCTCACTGCCTACAAGGAAATGCACTAATTTTCCAGAGAGCAAGATGGTTCTCTCAAATCACCTCACTCTCCTGTATATGATAATATGACCATGAATTTTGTACACCCCCAAATGTTTAAATTTACTAAAACTGAGTTTAAATGGCTTTTAACTAATATACACACACCAAAAAAAACCTACCAAAGTTGGGATTTTTAAAAGTTATATTTATAAATAAGACATAAGCAAGAATCTAATTCTGGGTAGACTCTCTCCTTCTCACCTGAAGCTCTAAGGCTGAGTTCAGTCTAAGGAGGGAGTTTATGGAATTTATGGACTCCTGCTTCTTCATGACAATGTCCAGTTGAGATCTTGAGGGTAGTTAGTTCCATAAATTATTTCAGTGAAATCCAATTTCTTGGAAATCAGTGATTACAGCACCATTTGAACTGTACACTCAACTTCCTGGAACTTTTCCACATTGATCAGAGACTTAAGTACCTGGCCCAGAATCCTCAGTGACTTCCATGGTTTTCAAACACAATTATTTGACGGTTCCTTGGCTTCCTTACCCCCAATGCCATTCAGCTCCACTCCACTTGAATCACCATCACTCACAACTGTCTCCCTCTAAATCTTAAACTTGCCAAATCTTTTCTCTGACCATACATCCTTACTTCCCCCAACCTAGGCCCATGACCCAGCCCCAACTATCTTTCCAGTCTCTTCTCCCATCACTCTCCTACTCACAATGGAAGTTCCAGCCAAGTTGAACTTCTGCTAAATTTGCACGTGCCCCCATGCCTCTGTGAATCTGCAAATGCTGTTTCCTCAGGAAAGACCTTTGATGGCTCTCCAGTTACTCATCCTGCTTCAGTGATACTGCTGTGCCTCACAGAAATTTCTATTATTATGAGTTTTCATCATATGACACTGATATTTTTAGGTAAAAAAAAGAAAGTCATCCATTGGCAATTTTATATCATGTAACTTAATACTTTTATTAGTGTTGTGTTAACTATTCACATTTTCTTCTGCACTTGATTATTAATGTGCAGAAGAAAATGTGAATAGTTTTCTGTTAAAAAAGAATGGGTTTTATAAGAAGGCAAACCTAAAATCAAAGACAGTTGTTCTCAACAATCTAAGGCAAGTTCTATAACATTCCCAAGACACAGTTTCCTCATCTATAAATTGAGGACGACAACAATGTTTCCTAATGAAATTGTTGAAAGATCACTTGAACCTTCCTAGCTGACACTACTTAATCCTGTTCAGGTAGACTATATAATCTGATAGTCCCCACCCACTGATACTTGATTTGTTTGTTTCAATTGTGGCCCTAGTTAAGTACACTAGAACATAAAACTTACCTTACCTATAACAGTTGGCTCTAGATCAATGAAGAGTGCTCTGGGCGCATGCTTCCCAGCTCTTGTCTCACAAAAGAAGGTATCGAAAGAGGCATCCATAGGCTCCATTTTAGCAATTTCCAACTGATCCTTTTTACTGTCGAGAAGAAAGCCATCTGGATGGATTCCATGTTCCAGGCAATACAGTTCCCAGCAAGCATCCCCAATCTGGACACCAGCTTGCCCCACGTGAATGGAAAGGCACTCCCTCTGAAATAAGCCAGCATGAGTAAGAACTGAACAGGCCTCCTTAGGTCTCATGATCCATTTCACTCAGCCCTTATGCTTATGACAGAAACCAAGCTAGCTTATGCCAATAAGAGAAATTTATTATAAGGCAAATTGAAAGTATATCATGGAAACCAAAAACCAGGATACAGGTAAGCTTTAGGAACAACTGAACCAAGGACACCAATTCCATTAAGAGGTTTCTTTCAACAACATGAATTAAGCACCTATTGTGTAATTGGTTAAGAATGAATTAACACTATATATATATAGTTTTTTATATATGTACAAAATCAAGCTGTCTTACCCAGAAGAAAAATTAGCTAGTTATTGGAAAGTAATGAAACCAAAATCAATCTGTGGCTTTGACACATATTGAGACCCATAGCAGATAAATTAATGATATTACTTTTTCATATCTTTTTTTGTTTGTTAATTCTCACCCAAGGATATTTTTTCCATTGATTTTTAGAGAGAGTAGGAGGGAGGGAGAGAGGGAGAAACATAGATGTAACAGGGAGAGACACATCAATAGGGTTTGCTTCCCGCATGCACCTGGGCCAGGGCTGGGATCAAACCTGCAACTGGTCCAGGTATGTGCCCTTGACCAGGAATCAAACCTGAAATCCTTCAGTACAAGGGCCAATGCTCTAATCACTGAGCAACACTGGCCAGGGTGTCTTTTCATATATTAAGATTTTACACTTGCTATTCATATTAGCTCTAAATAAGGAAGGATGTTCTAAACTTAAAAGTAATTAAAAATTTACCAAGGAAACATGTAATACATTTAACAACCCAGCTATACATAAGGCAATTTTTATATACATCAATTTTTCTAAAAAGTACTTGAGATATCTACTAGATAAATAGGCAAATAGCAGCAACAAATAACTGTAAAAGAAAGAAATAATCTAAAATGCCAAGATTTAGGCACAATGGCATTCACAGTATTAAAATTTATAAGAGTGAAAACCAAGAATCAATCTACTTAATCATTCACCTATTGTTCGACATTAGAACAGGTACATCAATACAATGGCATGTTATCCAACCCTTAAATATTTACCCCCCAAAATTGTATGACATGGTAAATGCTTATGATAGAATATTAGGTAAAAATTATATAAATTGTATAATTGTACATAATATATTATGTCAAATACATTTAAAAATAAGTTAGAAAAAGTGTTCTTAAGGTGTATCAAAATATAACTGTAGTTATATCTGGGTAGTGATATTTTTTCTTGTTTAAACTTCACAGTTTTCCTTCACCCTCATCAGCCTCCACTCTCCTATCCCACTTTTAAATCACCATTCACATTATTTAAAAAGTCAAACAACCTTTTTACTTGTAATTTAAACAGACAAATATCTACTCATCTAAGAGAGGAAAAGAAACACTTAATCCTAAAAATCTGAAGTGATAGCAATTGCTGATTTTAATATAGTTGAGTTTTGATTGCCAGTGGTCATGGTATAAGTCTAAGCAGAGGTCTTACAGGGTGACAAGCCTCTGTTTTGCATCATAGGGGCCCTTCAAGTTATTTGCCTGATAAACTGATAGGCAACCCTGCCCTTGTCCAGGGCTGTACTTTCCCAAGGTCTGAGGTTCAACTATAAGACCTCTAGTGGAAGGGAGGGAGGGAGCCAGTCACATCCCTGCAATCTGACATGGACTCTGTTCTCACTCAGCCCATCAAACTTTGTACTTTGTCTCCTTGATTCACAAGGCATAACACAGCCCTTGTTGCTTTATGAGGAATTCAAGCTCACTACTTGAGTACTTCCCTCTTGTTTCTTCTCTGTGCAACTATCAGTCTCTCCTGACAAAGGTTGTGAACTGGATTTAGAAAGCACTTCACTTAGTACCAACTAATAGTCCAAACTCTTGGGCATATATAAATCAAAACAACACATTCCACCATAAACAGCCTCTTCACAACCATACCTCTCCTTCCATTGGACTTAAAAATGATCTCAGTACAATAGATAGTGTAATCAGATCAAGACTCATCTAAATCCCTAGATTTAGGTAAAAATTTTAAAGTGTGTGGGCTCATTGTTTCCACATCATGAAAACCACTTATATGTAGATTTCTCTCACAGCATCCTTCCTCAGCTGTTGACCACCTAGTCCCTATGGGATGCACACATGGCATTTGCGCACAATTTTTACATACACACATCTCAAAAAAATCACCAACATAAAAAAACAATCGATGCTCTGTGGCCTGTTAGCCAAGTGGTTAAACACAGGAGTGATATGGTCTTTTTCTAACTCAGCAGGAATACTTGGCCCAACATGGCCCAATCCTGCCATGACTGGTTTGAGAAGCAGCTGAGTCTATAACATAACTGTGTCCCAGGGTACAGAACGTTATTTTCACTTTATTCTTCTCTTAGCCTTTCCCTCCTTTACAAACCATCTGTTAAAATATTAACCAAACTATAAAATAATAAAAGATTGCAAAATGCCCACTGAATATCAATATTGGTAAGTCACAGCACATTAATATCTGGTTGTAGGAAATAATACAGAAGATCTCCTGTACCCCTTACCCATTTTCCCCAATGGAAACATCTTGCAAGATTATAATAAATATCACACCCAGAATACTGAATTGATACAACTAAAACACATTTCCATTACCATGAGGATCCCTCATGTAGGAAGTCATCATTTTTAAGAGCAAAACAATTTGAATAACCTTGAAATGTTAGACAGAGTCCAATGGGGTGAGAAGATCAAAGATGAAAAAGCATTTTAAAGGTTGCTTCCATTTAAGAATTAAAAATTCTGAGATACTAAAAATTACCATGACTGGCACATAAGACATTAAAGGGAAAGTGGATCTTAAAAGGTGGTCTACCAACAGAATTGTTGTAAGTAACTATAGTCATTATCATCCTCAAAGGACTAACCTCAAGAAAGAACAAAGACGTCCATGCACTTTCCCTGCCACACATTTATGAGTTCAACAATGGTAACCTGGGTCTGAAGTCCCCAGAAATTCTAAAACCATAAATGAAAGTGCAGCAATTCATTTCCACAGAAAAATCAGCACACCAGATCTAAAACCAATGCAAAAACTAAAGGAAGGAGAGGTTCTTGCTTCAGCACTTCAGTTAAAGGCAATAAACACCCGCAAAGCAACTATGCTTTTGCTAAAAGCAGCAAAACTAGAGTTGATTAGAGGAGAGCTTATTCAAATCAGTTTCAAACATGGATATTAAGAGAAGCAATGGTTCTTTAAAAATTTCTTCTTTCATATCAAGAATTTATCAAAAATTTCTTGGAGGAGAAGAGGGCCAAATACTATGAGTAAAATTTGCTGCAATACCAAAGCAACACTGTCAACAATGTATAAGCACGGCAGTCACTTACCATGCTGAGTTGAAGGTGCCCCCTGGTAATGAGTGACAGAGTATGCCCAGGTGAGCTTTATCACAGGGCAGGAAATGACTCCACCTGAGGGTTGAGCTGCTGGCTTCACTTAAAGCAGTACAGCCTCTTTTCAGTTTTTCAGCTCTTGAGTCTCAAAATAGCTGTGGTGGCCTGAACGCCCTGAGATAAAGCTATGATTAACTGAGATTTGCAAAGAAATTAGAAGAAAATGAGAAAAACGCTCTTTTATAATATAATTTTTTAAATGCACAATTTCTTTAGTAATTCCTTTCTTCCTTAAAAAACGAAGTCTTACGGGAAAAAGTTTCCTCAAGTAATAATAATGGGAATTTCAAGTCTGGAGAAGTCTTCTGATGTGATAGTTTTATGTATTAACGTAGCTAGCCTATAGTGCTCAGTAATTCAATCAAACACTAACCTAGGAATTGCTGTGAAAGCATTTTGTAGATGTGATAAACAGTGACAACCACTTCAGTTTACATAAAGATTGCCCTTGATATTGTGGGTGGGCCTCATCTAATCAGTTGAAAGGCTTTAAGAGCAAAAGAACAATTTCAGCTTCAGCTCCTAAGCAACTTGCCAGTCTGCCTTACCAGTTTCAGACTTTACAGCACCCAAGATCACATAAGCCAATTATTTGAAAGAAATATCCATATGTAAATATACTATTCCATTTAACTCATATATATTTATAATATATAAATCTCCACATACATACACGTACATACATATAAAGAAGTCAAAAGAAAGAAGTATATGTGTGTAATATATTGCAAGTGTGTAAGTATGGTGTTTAGCTAAGATTTCCCTTCTTTTCAAAGTTCCTTTCTTAAGTATTTTTAATATAAACCAGGTAATTCACTGGCTAAGTAATGAGAAAAGGAAAGTCTAAGCAAGAAATTCTTGTTAAAACAAAAAAAGAAAGAAATCTTCAGCTCTAAGAAATAATTCTGGCCCGGCCGGGCGTGGCTCAGTGGTTGAGCATTGACCTAGGATCCAGGCGATCGGGGTTCGATTCCCGGTCAGGGCACATGCCTGGGTTGCGGGCTAGGCAGCCAATCAATGACTCTCATCATTGATGTTTCTCTCTCTCTCTTTCCTTCTCCTTTCCTCTCTCTAAAGTCAATAAAAATATTTTTTTTTTTTAAAAAAGAAATAATTCTGATGGATATTCTGACATTTCTGAAGTTATCTTTGCTAATTATCTGTTGGAAGCCCCGGCTGTCTTGACCCAAATCACTTTCCATTGTCATTCCCACACCCACAACACCCACATTTCTCCCTTTTTCTTCCTCCATCCTCCTCTCCTGTTATTAATATAACTCAGTACTTTAAAGCTTCAATGTCTCTATGTAAGATAGTCTAAGCATAAAAGAAATTAGTTTCAATCCACTCCTAATTGAAAGTGCTTTTTCTAGCCACACATTTTCTTCTAAAATTTAGTTCTCCCTTTTAAACCCAACAACTAAAACTCTAGTTTTTAATTTTGCTGTTTTTGTCACTACAATATCTGAAATCAAACCTATATAATAAATAATACCTGATAGAGGCAAAAAATAGATGCATACACACACAACAGATTTTAAGAAACAGTAAACCTGATTTCAGCCTGAGGGTCGGTCGA